CGCAAAACTATGCTACAGACGGCTTCAGAAGTGAGAATTAAAATGCCAGACGATTGCATAATGCACCCAGCTCAGACGCATACGGTGAGAGAGAAGTTTCGGGTAATATGATCCAATTTATTATAGAGTTTGTTAAACAGCGTGGTTAGTAGAACGGTTCCGCTGACAGCACGGATGATATTTGAAGGCTAAAAATTCTGCCAGGTGGCCGGACAGCAAGAAGAGGATTCCAGCAGTCTCCAATAGGTATCATCAAGGGGAAGGTCAAATTTAACTTACTTCGCATTACAGGAGAGGTGTGTGTCAAGCGTGTCACGAATCCAGATATGTCACGCTTGGCAAACTTGACAGTCCTTATGCGTTTGACATGGCTTCTGACTAGCGGGCGTACTGTGCAGCATGGAATCAGGCAAATTATTTATAACTACTTACGAAATTTTCGCTGTTAATACAAACAAATAATCTACGTTCGGAAGGAGTGCTACCAACAAAGTTCGTAAGTTGTGGTACCATCAACAAACCAATTTGGCAACCGCTTCAGTTACAATGACCTCCCTGAGACAAGGATGTTGACAGGCTTATTACTACGGACACACTCGAAGAGTCCTAGCCAGGGTTCGGTGGGGAAGATCGATGGCATGAAACTCTCAACAAAATAACTTTCGGCACCGAGACAGCCGGAGCTGTATAGGCAGAGTATATATATGCTATGAGGTGGAGGAAAGTGTGACAAGGAAATTGTGACAAGGAAAGTGCGACAAGGATATTGTGACAAGGAAAGTGTGACAAGGAGAGCGTGGCAAATCTCGTGTATCTGCAGCACGTCTCTCTCCGCATTTTTTTTCGTATGCAGTGGCCATACTATTAATACCCTCTGTATACATTCTGATTTTCAAGTCCGTATTGCCTGGCATCGCAAGTACAGATTATTTGGCCTTGTATTTCATGCTGTTGGAAATGGTGCTTGCCTAAACGGCCAGTGATGACAGGCTCCTTCTGTTCATCGCACTAATATCGTTATCTCCCATAATAGAATACGATGGATGCTTGGAGTGGTTTCGTAGTTTGCCCGTGTGATAGCAGGGCTGGACAACCGTCATGTGAGTGGCTATTGGATGTGCCGAGCCCATGTCTCACCTTGCATTGATCATGACTCGCATCAGACCGGAAGTCATGGGTCATAGAAAACTAGTCGGCAGATTGTAAATTTAAGACAATTGAAACAAATGCAATGGCCGGAGCTGGTTTGGCTGTGGGGTCCTGACGTGAAAGCCAAGCGGCGGCTGATACACGGACACACTTGATACGTTGTCATGCGCATTAATGATGGGGTTGGCGAAACTACAAGGGGCTACAAATTGCCGCGATTTGTATGGTTTGTTCGCAGGAGAGGAGCTCGTCCGCAGCCGGTCCAGCTTCCTAGAATTTCGGTTGAAGCCGTGTCTAATGGGTAATGCGCAGAAAAAGCTTCACAAAAGGGGTAATGACTTGCCGCTACCAACACAAGAACTCGCCCCAACACAAATTGGATCACTTCCATGCCTGATGCTCGTTTGTCTCGCGAGTTAGCCATTTCTAGGCCGGCAGTCCTGCCTCTCTTTACCCTCTCAACGATGCGCTTTATCCTTCGACGGCATGCCCAATGGCTGGTTCTTGCAGCCGCGCTTTTACTGACCAGTCTTTTCTTCTTAAAATCCGAATATCTCGCTCATAAGACCGCAACGTCGGCCAACCTCATGGCTTGGCACAAGCTGAGGGAGTCCTCTGAGCTGGGGGAGGTGGCCCAAAAGGCAGGAAACAGCACCTTGGGGTTTGGTTCTATATACTTCATCAATATGAAGAAGCGATACGACCGTCTCGATGCAGTGTCTCTGCAAGCTTACCTGTCTGGTGTGGACGTGATGCCGTATTCCGCTGTGGAGCCGGAAATGATAAATGACGTTGGTATGCCGCCTACGAGAGTCTCATTAAAGGAAGGTGAGAAGGGCTGTTGGAGAGCACATGCAAACGTAAGTGCCAATTTGCCAGAATTCAGGTTTTTCGGTTGCTGAAAAAAAAAAAAAAATGGCAGATTTGGTCTGCTATTCTGAGGGGTAAACTCCCCCCGGTGCTCATCCTTGAGTCGGATGCGGCTTGGGATATCAACTTACGTAAAATCATGCCAAATCTGAACAAACATTTTCGACAGTTTTTATTCAACATCAGTTCTGCCAGGATACCTAATCCCGGTTGGAATGCTAATTTTGACGAATCTATTAGTTGGGAGAGGAAGGAGGCAACAGATGATCCTTGGCTAAGCGACCATTGGGATCTCCTTAGCCTGGGCCAGTGTCACGAAACATCAGAGAACAGCAATGTCAGCTCGATTTATCACGATCCAACTGTGCCGCCGGGTAAAGACTATTTCGGCAGGGTGTTAGGGCGTGAGAGGGTCATCAGACAAGCAGGAGGTATCGTATGCACTACGGCCTATGCCATCAGCCAAACCGGAGCGGCTAAGCTATTGCTCAATACCGCTGTGAAACTTGATGCCCCTGTAGATCTGGTCATTAGAGAAATGATCTTGTCCGGGGAGCTTGTGGCGTACAGCGTAATGCCACCCATCATCGCACAATGGCAGTATAAGCCAGATATTGGGATGGATCAGCGTGGAGCCAACAGTGACATCAATGGGCCGCAAGGAGAACAACAGTCAACTAAAGACCCATGGCCGGAAGTCGAACAGTCTGGCAGCGTATGGATAACCAAACCAAGCCATCCGGATGTTGCATTTGAGGCTATGGCTCTGAATGTTGCCTGGCAGAGAATTTTCGGAGAGAAAAGAGAAAAAAGTAACAAATAAGTTATTATGAAGTGGCTAGCGGGCTTAGGATATTCAACACACGTGGCAGAACCTCGGCACAAGCCACAAGCCGTCCGGTCATGCTATGAGACTTATCATTAGCTCCGTCTCACTGATGTGGAAGAAAATTTGTTGATGTATTGGATCCGTTGTCTCAATCGACCGAGGCAGCTTTATCAAACACGTCCATTACGCCGCGTCCCTGGCAAAGTGATTCACGACTCCGGTTATTGGCATTAAGAAAGTTAAGGCATGTTGATGCTCCTATCCTAACGTCCAGATGTTTTATTCGCTTGGATAAATCGGTTTACAAGCATGGTCCTCTAGCTTGGTGTTAGATTCTCAGTGACCACAAAATATGAAGGCTGGCGCTAGCCAACCACCTGAATTTAAAGGACCTCAATTCTTCAAGTTAAACAAGAAGAGAACAGACAAAAATACATCACAATAGTTTATCTCCATAATAATGCCACCGTATTTCTAACACTTGGCATCAATCGACTTCTGAGAGTCGTTACTTGACTTTTTAAGCTAAATAACTCAAATTACTTCGAGGAATAGGCTTTCTCTGTGTGATTGATAGTGCCACCTTATTTCCGACCGATTCCTACAGCACTCGTGCCCAGGCCGACTTGTTTGGAAATCAGCTGGTGGTGCAAGCTCGTGAGCTCCGAATAAAGTAGGACATGTCACGAATAGAGCCAACGCACTCTCACACTTTTTTTACGTGCTGAAAAATGGATGAGAAAAACTTGCGTTATTGGTTAAAACTTGTATGTTGCGGCGTCCCATCCCGTAGATGTTTAAAAGTACACAGGTAAGTTACCGTTGCTGCCAGCGCTGCTTCGGGCGTGGGAGGCAGCGAATGCTGGCCTC